ATATATATATATATATATATATATATATATATATATATGTATGTATATGTATATATATATGTATATGTATGTATATGTATATATGTATGTATATGTATGTATATGTATATATGTATGTATATGTATGTATATGTATATATGTATGTATATGTATGTATATGTATATATGTATGTATATGTATGTATATGTATATATGTATGTATATGTATGTATATGTATATATGTATGTATATGTATGTATATGTATGTATATGTATGTATATGTATGTATATGTATGTATATGTATGTATATGTATGTATATGTATATATATGTATATATATGTATTACAAAAAATTAGCACAAATAGTTTTTCATGGAAACCCTGAATTGAGAATGAATCCAGATAAAATTAAAACCAACATTTATCTTGTAAAAATGAAAAATCATTTCCTTGTGTACCATGTTCTAATAGAATCTCAACTGAGTTTCCGAGTTGTATGCATTATTTTTATTTGCCTTCTGCAGATTTAGTGATTGCAAAGAAGAAAAGAAATGTTGCTAAACGTGCCATCTCATGCAGGTTATAACAGTGCAGCCATCCCTATTTCTTGAAGCAGCAGTTGCGGCTAATAACTCTCAACATCTTGCTGCAGTGCTGAGATTTTTCTCCGATTTCACTCCAAGCTTTAAGCTCACATCTGATTACAACAGATACCACACAATGCTGATTGAAATGAGTTAGCTGGTGGTGGTAGTTATTATGGATCATTGAAACATGATAAAAGTCTCAAAGCCATTGACTCCTTTATTCAGCAATATGATACTTCAGGGTATTGGATATTTTGTCATTTTAGATTCGTGTTGGATTTACGGGGTAGAACGCAATGGATCTGATTATGTAGTTGAGGCAATAATAGACTATTCTTGTTAGGATGCATCAAATTATTAGGAAATAAGATAATTTTGTGCTGCTGTTATTTTCCCCTCTCCATGACAACTTTCAAATGATAATTGCTGGTCAGTCTTAAAATTTGTGTAAATCTAAATAAGGTTCACTTTAGTATGTTTTTTTCTTTTTCTGTGTAAGCATTACTATGTTTAATCTTTTTTGTTTTCTCCTTTAAAAGGTGAGCAGTAAAGACAGGACTTCCTACTAGTAACAATCAAAACACATTTGCAGAATGAGATCGTGAGTTCTCAGTTAGGTCAATAGACAGAAATTTGCAAGATGAGATACCGATACACCGATCGTCTGCTATCGAATAGATCATGCTACAGTGTTATAGTAATATACTGTAACAGTACTACAGTGAGAGGAAATCGTTCAGTAAACCGTTGGTATCGTATCATACCGAGTCAATCTTAAAACATCGATATGGTACGATATTGCATATCTTGATCTTAACATAATCAAAAATTATATTAAGATAAATTATGTTAAAAGAGAGAGAAGAAACATGTATACTTGCCATCGTCAAGAAACAAAAATCATACAACTGCATACCGAACTGCTTCTCCGACTTGGATAATGCAAAAGATAAGGGGATATGCCGTCCAATTACAAATCAATATATCACAACTGACTTTGTGAAACCAAAGCCATGGAAAAAAAAATTCTCACTCTGCAACACGATTACATCTTTTGGTCCTTACCTAATTTGAAATAAAATTTCCCGAAATTTCAGGAAAACCAATTGAAATGGACTGCCCTGAAATTACAGTATTGCGTCAATTGGATAGAAATTACAGTATTGTTTCAATTGGAACGACGCCATGACTTCTCAAGTGAAAGGATAAAAGTTAGAGAAGAGCAAACTGCCAAGAAGAACATAACTGGCAAAGTAAACACAGATCAAGTAGCCCCATCTTCTGGAGGTAGTGTTGGTAGAGATTAACAGGTGTGAAGCAAACCAATATAACGGAGGACTGGCTGACAGGAATCGGGTCGATACCTGGAATAGGAAAATTCATCGGTCATTTAAAGAGAGAACTCCCATTGGTATCACATCTTCTATCTTTTGCCGTTTAGCAAACAAGAAAAAGCACGGTGAAATTACCATACTTGCAAAGTAAATAACACATTATGAAAAAGTCTACAAACCAAAAACCATAACACATCATCTTGCGGGTTCAATCAAAGGAATGACATTAGAAAAGGTGAAGATGTTCCTTAGTCTAACTGCCTCATCAAAAGTATGAACAGAAACCCTAACTATTCTAGAAATATGTAAAATACGGATGCAACCATAGTGGTAAACTGAGAGATGGCAAGGGGAAGAAAGCTAACCTGTACGTGCATTACGAACAAAGATGTGAATGTCATAAATGCCAGATGTAAAATGAAAGGAAGTAGTAAGATCGAGTCGAGTCTTTGTTTTGATTGAAGAACTTGGACTAGAGGCCTGAGTTCTTGTATAGATTCAGAATCCTTCTTGTTTCTTTCCTGCTTCCTCTGTTTAATCATGTGATGCCCTGTTCAAATAGTAGGCAAGGCAAGGTTGATCATTAAGAGTGATAAAGGAAGATATATACTGAAAAGAAAGCACTGTATAGTACCAAATGGGCCTTAATACAAGTTCCAGTGTACCTTCAAATGCAGCACTCAGATGATATCTATGGCAACAATATGTATTACTACTCCAGAAATTATTGTATAAAGAGGTCACAGTCATGTACTGAAAAGATAATTGTTCATCAAATTATGTACCACCCCATGTACCAAAAAGAAATGATCATGCAATTTTCATATTGCATAGACTGAAGCATCAATCAGCATTTTTTTTCCATCTGCAGGGGAAGCCAACAAAAGTGGTGCATGCTTCAAAGGACAGATACATAGCTACTATTGCCTGGAAACATGTTTGCTAAGATGGTAAACAAAAGCAAATTCTGACCTATTCCAAATTATGCCAATCACCAACATAACAAATCTTGCTTTCTAAATCCTTGTAATAATTAGTTAAGAAATACAAACTTCCCAGGGCATCTCTTCAAATAACTGTGAAGTACAAGTGCACAAGTGGTTTAGGAATGAATACCTTGAGCGTTTCTGGAAGATAAATTGTTCATTGAAGCACAAATAGCGTCTGAACTTTTATTTGTTTCAACTGACTTTGGCGTAGTAACCATGTCATTTTCCTCGTGCACATGTGGCAATCGAAAAGTTCCATGCAGTAAACTTGAGTAATGAATAATTGAGCAAACTGCCAGAGATAGTATTGGAGATGCAAGAAGAAAATTGGGCAATTGTTTTACTTGAAAATATCTGAGGAAACCTACACCCCTGATATTACAATATAAGTTAACTATTTATAAGCAAAGAATAAATAGAAACAGAAGGATTGTTTTCTACACATACAGCAAAGCAGCAAATAGCTCGAAGGGAAAAAAAGTACCAGTAATGACTTTGAAGAAAACCATATAAATTAGGTAGCCTTTGTTTGCACCATGGCCTCAACTCATCTGAAGAACCACCTAGGCAGATATTCAAGTATCCATATGCTTGGAATGCTATAAATGGCACAAATATGAAAATAGAACGTATGGCTGCAGTGACAATCGCCTGGGCTGCCAACTTAAGGAAAAAAACATGTTAAAAATCAAACTTGCCATTACAACAAGCTAATAATATATATAGCAACAGGTAATTAAACATAGATAATGTGATCTTACTATGTGATTTTTCTTATGGATAATAGCATCATAATACAGTTTCAATGCCTGAAAACAGAAATAACCGGCATTAAGTGCTCCATTTGACCTAGCTGAACCAGAGAGCGCAAGCAGGAGCATGGCTACAGTATTTGCACCAGAAAATATGAAGTATATCCCCCCAAGTGACAATAACGCATAAAGACTCTCTGAATATCTGTCAAGGACATCTTTAGTATCAAACATATTAGAAAGAATGAAGGTTTATAAAAACCTCAGTATGCTTGTAAGATAACAAGAACAGGGGTTTTACATTGATGAGTAAAATATTGAAGCTGGGTTGAAGCAGAACAAAACAGATGATCGTAATGCAGCTGCTGTATCTTTTAGGACTAAAACTGATAGCCTGCAATTATGCAGTAAAGATCCAATTAACCGCCATAAAATTTCTGGAATAGACCTTAGATTAAGAAATGGAACAAGATGTTTGAATTACACAAAAGCTAAGGAAACATGTGAGCATATTTTAAGTTATATATTTTGCCATATATGCAGACAGGATGCGCTGGTAGCACACAAAGCTATAAGCTACTAATTCTAACGAAAAAATCAAATAAAATTTGAACTGATTTAAACAAGTAATATAAACGCTTATGACTATGTGATCAGGATGCTTATGGTAGAGTGATAGTCTTGTCGATCATAACAGATATAGACACTTTTAAGTGTTTGATCACTCAAACACATCCCGGTGCATGTCTTAAAGATAATAATGAACACACAAATGCATGGCAAATAAAAACAAGGTTCTCAAAGGATGCTATCCATCTAACTCCGAGTTTTCTTGCCATAATATCAGCTACTCTATTCTACCTGACAAGGAAACAAAGAAAGTTCAATCTTTTATATCAAAAAATGACGGTGGAGAAGTCCAATTTACCTATAGAAAATAACTGCAGCAAGCAAAAAGGCCAAATTACTCAACGCATAACCCGATAGCGCCAACACCGCTCTGTACCCAATGATTGGCACCAAAGGAACAAACACTGCCACCGGAAAAAGAAACAGCAATGAAGTTGTTAAAACCCTAAACCGAGCCATTCCGAGATCAAAAGATCGGTTCTTGAGAGTAGAACAAATGAAAGAACCAAATTTGAGCCAACCGGATCGAGAGAGGAGGGCAATGCAGGCGGGCAGAAGCGGGAGGAAGGCATAGGTCTGCTCATACTCGTAGCCGCACTCTGCGATCCGCACGAAGTAGACGCCGTCCCAGACGACGCTTGATTCGATCGCCGCACCGACCCAGGGCCAACGGACAGCACCGGTCTTCGGCAGTCCGTCTCCAGCGGCGGCGGAGAGGCAGCTGGGGTTGAGGGAGGCGGAGGTGTCGTAGGGAAGGAAGAGGAGGCGCCAGAGAACGATCAGGGTTAGGAGGAGGAGCCTCGAGAGGAGGGCGATGCGGAGGACGAGGCGCTCCTCCGATCCCTCGACCTTCTTCCTCCCCATCGGAATCCTGGAGACCGAGTTGGGGCGGGTTTGCTCGGCGGTCGAGCGGGGCGCGTTTTAAGATGTATAGAGTCGGCCTTCACGATTCGGTTCGGTTCGGTTCGGTTCGGTTCATTCCCTATGCAATGAACGGCTTTCGAGCCGAAATTAAATATAATTCTATTAAATACGGTAGATATCAAACTCGACTCGGCCAACTCTAACCTAACCCAAATTAATTCTCCGATTCGATTGGGTCGGATCGAGATTGTGCTAAAGATATCGAAACTTTGTGAGTTACCATTAAGATCAAATCTTAATTTTTCGAAAGTAGGCTTTATCGTAATCCTTTTTTTTCCGAAAAAAGAGATAATTACGAAATAATTTCTCCATTTTTGTACTAATAATGGAATGGAAGATTCTATTATGTCCTAATTTTATTTAGAGCTCCATTAATTGGGGCTGTCGTCCCACGTGTACCACCCACCTTGTTTTTATTCTATGGGCTTCTCCTTGTCTCGGGGACCACTCCATCCAACGGCCCGCATACGATCTGGTCGGCTCGGCCCACCGTTCTCCGCCCACTTATCTCGGTAGCCCACCGAATCGCACGGGTAACTTATCGGGTGGCGGCGGATCTAAGAAAACGAAAGTACTATCCCAACATGTTTGCTCATACACATAATGTCTACTTGGATTAGTGATAAGGAAATCGAGTGGGCCCCGTCGGTTTTACCCAATTACAACAAGGGTATGTTTGGCGAGTAGTTGTAAATAAGTGAAAGACGTATTGCCGAAAAAGGGGGTTGCATGTTAGGATGGTCTGCCGGCTAACCGACTTCGCGGCCCTCGACGACCCATCACGAATCGGAGAAAGCCACGTGTTATTCAAAGAACTGAGTTGTTTGGTGTGTAAGGGGTCTATAAATATACGGAAAAGCCCCCCGGAGATCTTATAATCCACAACCCTATCCGCGAAGCACCTCCGCATCCTTCTCCTTTCTCTTCTTCATCGCTCGGCAAGACCACTTTTGGGTCGGGTTCTCCGTGGCCTCGATGCCGTGGTTGGCCGGAACGCACACCGCGATCAGAAACTCCTCGCGAGAGAAGCTCCCTCCTTCGTCTTCGACGTCGTCGTCCTCCACCTACTTCTACTGTGAATAGATTATGGCTGATAATTTTGTGTAAGGAAATTAGAGTTAGGGATTTTTGGGTTTTCTTTGGAGATGGAGGAGAGGTCGACGGTTTGAGAAAGAGTGGAGGGGAGATGAGCTTTATGGCGGCGCCGGGGGCGGAGGAGGAAGAGGGGGCCGCGGCGGCAGGGCAGATCCATTTGCCGGCGGAGGTGGACTGGGAGATGCTGGACAAGTGGCGGTTCTTCGTCCTGGGCGCCGCACTCTTCTCCGGCGTGTCCGCGGCGCTGTACCCGGCGGTGGTCCTCAAAACGCGGCTCCAGGTCGCGCAGCCAGCGCCGCCGTGCCTCCGCGCGGCGGCGTCCATCCTCCGCCACGAGGGACCCCGGGGGTTCTACCGCGGATTTGCCACGTCCCTCGCCGGCACCGTCCCCGCGCGGGCCCTCTACATGGGCGCGCTTGAGGCCACCAAGAGCGCCGTCGGCACCGCCACCCTCCGCTTCGGGGTCCCCGAGCCCGCCGCCTCGGCTGCCGCCTCCGCTGCCGCCGGACTCAGCGCGGCTGTCGCCGCCCAAGTCGTCTGGACACCCATCGACGTGGTCAGCCAACGCCTCATGGTGCAGGGCTCCGCCGCCGCCACCGCCGTTGCCAAGTACCGCGGTGGTGTTGACGCCTTTAAGAAGATACTGTTCTCCGATGGCCTCCGCGGCCTTTACCGGGGGTTCGGGATGTCAATCCTCACCTACGCCCCATCCAATGCCTTGTGGTGGGCGTCCTACTCCCTCTCTCAGAGACTAATCTGGGGTGGCATCGGCTACCACATGGGTGGCGGCGAGTTGAGGCCGGGACACGGTACGGTGGTGGTGGTGCAGGGGATAAGTGCGGCGATGGCAGGGGGAGCTTCGGCGGTCATGACAATGCCACTGGACACCATTAAGACGAGGATGCAGGTGTTGGACGGCGGTGGCGAGAGGATGACGATTGGGCGAACAGTGAGGAGTCTTCTGAGGGAAGGCGGGTGGGGGGCATGCTACCGAGGGCTTGGTCCGAGGTGGGCTTCCATGTCTGTGTCCGCGACCACCATGATCACCACCTACGAGTTCTTGAAGAGGCTTTCAGCGAAAGAGGGCTTTCTTTGAGGTACTTCAAACCCCCCAAAAGAAAACCTTTCCCTTCTCTTTTTCATAGCTTTTTGCTGTAAATATTTGAGTTTGAATTTTAGTATTTCCTAGATAGAGAGAGGAAGGGAGGGTGTTGAGTCTAGTTGTTATCAATGAAATATCTTCTGATCTAATCTAATCCAAGTATGGATATGAATTTTGTATGAAAAGAATAATCTTTTTTATCAGTTTTTCTGTCTGTTTTGCAGATTATTGTCTGGTCCATTCTAACCCAAAGACAGATTTTTCTGAACATAAGTAGCGTAATCTTGTCATTGTTTAAAGTTGGACTTTTTGTTCAGATAATGGGATAGGAAAGTGGAGGTGTATGTTAAGGAGTGTTTTGGGAGGATTAGAGTTTAGATTTTAGTGGCATGTGGATGGATGCAGAAGAGCTCTCGGATTGGTCTTACAGTCATCGAGTGCGCCTTGGTATAATGGATGTGGAGACAAGGTGACTGTAGTCTCTCTGTAAAGTTTGCTGCAAGTGCTGTTACTGTGGTTTGCCTTTTTGAGTTGGGAAATCTCTTGCTGCACGAGGAAATCTGGGTGGCTAGGCGATCTTAGATCATTTTGGGGCCTCTTTGCCCACATCTTGTTCTCTTCCTCTCATTTTGGATTGGATTTGGTGATGTTGTGGGGAACTTAGCTTGGTGAGCCTTTGGATTTATCTTCTTATTCTTCCACTCTTCCATGTTTTCTCTAGCTTTGTGAGCCTTGGAGACGTAGGATTGCAGCTTATTATTGGATCTTCCACTCTTCCATTTCTTTTCCTATTAATCTATTTTTTATATTCTCATTTCCTTGCCTAATCTATGAGGAATTTTGTTCCTTCAGGATATAAATATTGGCGTGGATTTTGGATTGGTCCATCTCTCAGGATGTCATCATGGATGACCTTCCTCCTGGTGCATTGGTTTTAGGAGAGCAAACCTTAGCCGTAGGTTTGGCCATTGCTCGCAGACTAGGTTGGAATATATATTGTTTCATTTCTGAAGTATGATGGTTCGTGCTGGATGCTTATTACATTAGTGGGAGACCAAATAGATAGAGATGTTCATCAGAGATTAGTGTCACCCCTAAGGTTCACTTTTCTCCTAGGTCAAGAAGTAGCTTCCTACTCAACATAAGAGAGGCATTTCTACTACTGTCAAAGATACAGTTAAGAGAGCTTTTGTTATTTAAATCTTGGTGGTTGATTTGATTAAACTTGGAAGTACTTTGTTGAATAGTTTGAGAAATAAAAACCAGCTTCTTAGGGTTGGGTTTCAAAGATGAGACAAGGACTGCCAAAACATATTACAGTTTTGATGGCCCTTGATGTGCCAGATTATTAGGGTTGAAAAGCAAAACAATTTATAGGATCATGCAAGTAGCTCAATGTTGAAATAATTATTCCTGTTGGATGATATGTGACCTTAAGAGAACAGTCAGCTACTGCAAAGGATGATACTGGCTGTCAGACAAGTGGTCCTTTTCAAGAACTTGAAAGGATAAGATCTCCAACATGGTTCTCGAGAAACATAAAAGTAATCCTTTCCTGATTGTTTGGGATCAACTTGGCTGATCCTGTCTCCTCCTACCAGTCACCACCAAAACCCTTAGTTGTTGGATCAAGAGATGAACAAGATTCTCAAGTAAACAATGAGAAAAGCCTTAATAGTTTTTTAAGGCGCAAAGTGGGTAGATATACTGATGGATCATGGTAGTTGCTTGTGAGGTGGGAATATATACTAATATCATTTATGTTCACAGTTGTTCTAGGAGAAATTGACTTAGTTATAAATGAATTGTATTAGCACTTAGTGGCGACGTTAAGATCTGGTTTTTGGTGACGATCAGTGGAGTAACATTCACTGCCGGGTTGGTGAGATTGCTCATGTTTGATAAGCTCCTACTACTTTAATCTTTGAAGGATTAATGGTCCCAATCCACTCGAGCTTGCAGCATGAAAATGGTTTACAAGAAGATGAGGTTGCAGGTGATGGATAGTGATGGTGATAGGATGAGAAACCTATGAGGGAGTTTCTGAAGAGTCTTTCAGCCAGAGAGAATCCTCTGTGAGGTACTTCAAACTGTGAGAAGATCTTTAAAAAAAGTATACCTTCTCTATTTTTTTCTTTTTTTTTTCTTTTTTTGTTTGTAAATTAGTGTTGTGATTAGTCCACTGCAGTTGTTCTTTTATATAGTGAAGCTCATTGCTGGATAATCTTCTGATATAAAACCATTAAAAAAATATATGTTCCTTTTCTTATATATAAAGTAAACAGTGCTTGTTGTCTTTTTTAGATGGTGGTGGTGAAGGGAGCTAGCTGGGTTTAGTAGACATTGATGGACTACTATCTGATCCAATCTTATCCAAACATGGATATGAATTTTGTATGCAAAGCAAGATTGCTTACATCATCTTCATATTATATGTGATCCTCCAGGCATGTTCCTTCTAATTAATGTCGTTTCCCATGTTTGACAATTGAAGTCTCTGTTCATAGATCATAATTAGAAAGCTGAGGCAATTGAAGTGTGTTTCGGATGGATAACATTTCAGCTGTGAAGAGGAACTCTTGGACTGGTCTTAAAAAGAGTCAAGAGTGGGGCAGTGTGTGTGTAAAGATGGCTGCAGGTGCAGCAAATGTGGTAATAATGTCTTCAAGCCCCTCTCTCCTGCTGTAAACCCTCCCGAAGCCTTTCGTTTCAAGAGTGGGTGAGGAAAAACTCTGTACGAGCAACTGTTGGAAGATGCCAAACTCTATCGGAAGGAGAAAATGGATTGGAGAGTGTGAGCATATGGGAATCATAGATCATAATGGATTGGAGATCCTGACATCAAGTTCTTGTCCTCTCATTCTGGATTGGGTTTGGTGGTGTGGCCCGCTTTTCTTTCCTTTTTGTCCTTGTTCTGGGCCTCCACTCTGCCATGCCCTGTTTTCAATGTGCGTCTAAGGACAAGGTATCTTGCTACTCCAGTGATAAAGATGGATTGGTGTCCTGGGGTGCAGGACTCGTAGTTGAAGGGTCTGGCTCATGCTGTGCTCTGCTTTCTTCTCCTACTTCCAAAGCATCATATAGGTTAGGTTAGGTTAGGTTAGGTTAGGTTAGGTTTGGTAATTGGATACTAATTGCATCAGTGGTGACCTAAAGTTTTGGATTTTGGGTGTAGATAGAGACGTTCACCGGAAAGCATCATGATTTTGGGTGTGGATATTAATTGACGTTCTACCTTTACCCTCCTTCCTGCTTGGTGGACAAAAGACTTGGCGTGCCATCCCATAGAACATGATCTTGTGGCATGAACAATGTTGATTGGATGATTGTACCCATGGTTGGTAGACCTGGTCCAACACTGGATATATATATATATATATATATATATATATATAAGGTGATGTCGATTGACTCTTAAGCACAATTATCGTAAGAGCAATCGACGTCAGATGATGGATAGTGTAATAGCTTTCATTGCTTTCAGTAACATCATTGACGGGGACTCGAGAAGGCTAACATTGCGTGCAAGGGAAAGAAATCATGGACGTTTTGGACCAACATATCCATCCAAAGATCATCAAAATTGTCGAGGATAAATATTTAATGGATGGATTTTGATCTTCCCCTTCGGTGGTGATCTTGAAGAAGCAATCTCCAAACTAATCCTAACCTTAATCGACCCTTATTAAAAAGATGAAGAGACCGGCTAAGATTAGGATTAGTTTAAAGGTTACTTCTTAGAGAAACATTAGAAATTAATTAAAATTACGAGTCGAGTCTTATTAGGAGTTAGGTTTAGAAGCCCTATAAATAGTCTCAAGAAATAGATGAATCGTTTTAATAGCCTTTAAACAGTAACATGAAGGAAAGAAAAGAACTCCTATAGTCGATCCCCTAAAGAGATCAATCCCAAACTTAGAATATGTAAGTGTTCTATCATTCGAATTTAACCCTATTTGAAGCTTTGGAAAAAGAAGGAATGCAATATATCAAATCACCATGCCAAAAGGATCTTAATTCATGGACGAGAACCGAGTCTTAATGGTACCATCTTGTTCATCCATCAGACTTATTCCAAGAGGAATTCTTCCTGCACAAATCATCTCCTTGCTTCCAAAACCAAGATAGGATTAGCTAGATCAACTAATGTAATGAATCAGACTTGTACCGTCAGATCTGAGATATGAGAACAGGGGACCCTCTCATTACAGGCATGTTTCTCGTACCAGGAGACATATGCTAAGACAAATCCAATCTAACAATATATTACCTATATATGGATAATTTTAATATTTCTAACGTATCGAATATTAAAATTATATTTTTTATGATAAGATCATTACAAACAAAAGAAATATTAAAATTATTTTTTTATCTTTCATTTTCATATCGATCCAAATATCAGTTAAAGATAAATAAAATTATTTATTTTATTTTTAGGACTATAAAGATCTTAATATAAATTTTTTAAATATAAAGGTAGATACGAATAAGATCATAATTAACCCGAAGAATCCCTCTCATCAACACCAACAATACAACACGAGATGAATGGCACCGGACCAAAAAAGAGAGGTCTTGAAGTAAATTGAGAAAGAGATAAACCCTAGAGAAAGGGGAGGGTCGTACCTGAGGGATCCGACGTGCCACCACCGCTGAGACGGAGCAAAGATCGGAGTTGCGTCAAGGGCTTCGGTCGGAGCAAGAGAGGATAAGGGAGGTTCCTTTAGGGTTTCGAGGGTTGAAGAGAGAAAGAGAGACAAGTGTAATTTGAGGTACAAGACGAGGGTATACCGTGAAATCTTTGGCCGTCTCCGAACCTTAAAATCCTCCGGCGGTAAACTTACCATACATCGCGGTCGCGACTCAATATATCGCACACGACTAGAGTATGAGAGGGGCACTCGCCGTCCGCCCGTCTGTCGCTCTTCTCGCCGCCGACCTCTTCCCCTCCTCTCGCCGCGGCTTCATCCTCCCCCACCGCCGAAACCCTTGCGTCGCTCCCCAGCCGCCTCGCCATCGGCTGTCCACCGTCTCCGCCATGGCCTCCGCATTCAAGCCCGAGGAGTCAAGGGTTCCGCCGGCGCTCCAACTACCTACTCCGCGCGTCTCCAAGGTGCGGTCTTTCTTTAATGTCTTCTCCTCCCCCTTCGGCTCTGGATCTGCAAAGTTCTGATCTTTTTGGCCTATTCTTGTAGTTCAAGATCGCTCTCTGCCAGTTGTCAGTGACTCCGGACAAGGAGAGGAACATCGCCCATGCTCGCAAAGCGATTGAGGAGGCCGCCCGGAAGGGGGCGCAGCTTGTTCTTTTGCCGGTAGATTCCGTCAAATCAGATCCTATGTTCTTGGAATGCTTTCTGATCATACTTCCGTTTGTTATTTCGATTATCCGCACATAATTCAGTTTGAATAAGCAAAAGAGTATGATAGGTAAATGTTCCATCTTCCATTTGTTGATTAGTCTTCTCAATTCCTCTTTATTCTGCAACCAGAAAGCTTCTCCATTTAAATACATTATTCAAAAAAGCTCTTCTCTAGTCCATCTTTTCTATTAGTCAGCAGCATACTAAAATGAGTTTATTTAGAGAAAACATTTGCTACTTTCTCAAGGTGGCAACTGCAGTTAGAGCTCTCAAGATTTCATTTGCTAATGGGATAAAGCCATCTCAGAATCAGCACCAATAATTAATTGTAATCTTCAACAACAGCACTCAGTCTGTTAGGAAAAGAAGAGTATATAAGAGAAGAATAAAGAAAATGACCAGCCTCATTAGCATGCCTCAAAGGATTACAAATGTATATATACACATTAAGAAGCCATGTGGGAGAAAGTTTTTCTTTTTCGGAAATCTCGTTACCCACGAAAGAGACCTTTACAACTCTTTAAATATCACTTTTGATATACTAAACAATTTGCTTAATGTTTATGACAATTTTATTTGAATCTTAGACACCAAATAGACTAAGAAAATGGGACTCTAGGGGTTTCCACAATATAAACTAAAACAATGATGGAATACATATGGAAATGATAGAAAATAAATATTTAAACCTATTGCCGGTAGGACTTTGTAGAAAGCTTGATTAACCTTTTCTTCCCTAACTTGACCAGGAGCAGATTGAAACAATGTGGAACTTTATTTACTTTTAAGAAATGGTATGTGCCCAAGGGTTCCTTTCTTCCTACTATCATTTTGCTAAGTGAAACATGATGCAGAGACACTCATGACCACAGAAAATAAATTTAGGTATGACACTTCTCACAAGAGCTTAGTTCCTTGAGAAATGAACCTTTGATAAACATTTTTGATCATCGGTTGACCATCAAATGGATCCAGTCTGGTTGGAGAATTCATTCCATTAATTGGTTTATCCTCTTCCTATTCTATAGAGGTCAATGATCCTGTAAAGATTGATAACTTCATGGTTGCTTAGATCTCTTGAGGTGACTATTTCATTTTATTATAGAAGGTGTGTCTTTTTCATGTAAATTACATTATTTTTGTTAGGAATTTACTTCTCCAACGATATTTTATGCCCTTACTGTTATCTAAATCACCACCTTTGATTAAATGGTTTTAGAATTGATTGGTGTAATTGTTGTTAGGAAATATGGAATAGTCCATATTCAAATGATAGCTTCCCAATCTATGCTGAGGATATTGAAGCCGGAGGTGATGCAGCTCCATCATTTTCAATGCTGTCTGAAGCTGCTCGCAGTCTGCAGATCACTATAGTTGGTGGATCGATTCCAGAACGTTCTGGTGATTGCCTATACAATACATGCTGTGTATTTGGCACAGATGGAATTCTCAAGGGTAAACATAGAAAGGTACAGGACAAGTGCTTCTGTTAGTTCTTTCTACAATGTGCTTTTGACGTCATATGTAATTCAATACTTCACCTTGCTTACATGAACAGTTTTGCTGGCGTGTTTTATATGACTGTTTTCGCTTTTGTATGTCTTTTTCTTTAAGAGATAATTGGTGAGGTGACAATTTTATGAACAGGGTTTACAGAGTCCTAAAGTCTTCCTTTTTCTAGTGGCATATCTCTTGTGCTATCTCCTATTGCTTTTCAAAAGTTCTCCTCATGATATAAATTTGACAGATATTTTATGTCAATATTTGATGAGGCAGATACATCTTTTTGACATTGATATTCCGGGGAAGATTACATTTAAGGAATCAAAGACGCTTACAGCTGGGGAGCACCCTACTATCGTGGACACAGGTGTGGAACATGGCATTCAATCATTAGTTTAAATGCATGCTGCTTACAGGATAATTTGCATTGTAAGCTTCTCAAACTAACTTATAGATCAGAGTGCAGCCTTTTTTTTCTTGATTTATTTTAATCGTACTCAAATAAACTTAATGCATATTATCTTATCATATGAATTGCTTTCTGAATTGTGTGTATCATTGTTGTAGTGTATGCTTATTTGGAAATGTTTTTATAGATTTGCAATTTTATTTATTTCTATAAGTTTCTTTCATCTTGTAGTTGTAAATAAATGATTTTCCATCTCTTGAATAATATGATAGCTGTTTAAAGCTTTTCCAGTTCAGCTGGGAATTTTAAATTTAAAGTATCTGGGACAATATCAAACACGAAACATTTGTCCTTTAAATTCAGTTTGCATCTGAACTTAAAATAAATAACTTTTGAGTGGTATTGATGCTGATTTCCTATTCTTTATTTCATAATATTGCCTATGAATGGTGAGAAACTGAGTGCTTTAGCTGATGTTTTGTTCTGGAAAAACTTATAATTTACTTTTCTTGCGTTTATGCATATCTTTTACACTCATCTTTACTTTCTTTTTTGTGTAAAGTGGCCAAAAAGGATGCTTCTGTGCAACAAAAACTCCATCACAAAGGGACTGAACTCTGTTTTAAGGTGCAGAACTCAATCGTAGAAACATTATCATTAGGATTATATCAACCATATTAGTGGACTAACAAGAATATGAAAGCAACTGAGGGAGCATCAAAGCATTTACATTTTTTAGATTTAGCCTTAAGAACACATATGCTTGAAGTGATCCATTTGAGGCAGGAGGAGGCTGTTCATGGCCTGATAAAGAGGAGGTAAATTATTGGAAAGTGAGAGAACCTGATGGTGACCACATATATAGATGATACATTGGTGAAGAAATGGAAAATTTTCCTTTACTTCTAACTTTGAAGCCAACCAAGATGAATCATCAGTTAAGGTAGCATTCATTTCTCATGGAATGTGTCATACTTTGTTGCAACCAAGAGAAATATAGCAGAGTCTTAGAGATATTCATTTGATAATTTATAAAACTCCAAACAGGATAAATTTAAGTGCAACTAGTAAGAATCCCTGTGACAGAAACAGTAAAAGGACCTGCATGATTCTATTGAAGAGAATGTAACTTCTCTAGGGTAGGTTTCCTTCTTAAATGCTCAGGCCTTACAAAACTATTCGGTCTCATGATAGAGATGAAAGTGATATTACTGAAATTGCAGATATAGGAGTCATTGACAAGTAATTTACAACAAGCGAGGGCATATGAGTTAGATGATTATGGTAATGGTTTTTGGAGCAGCAAAACCATCAAATGTCAAAGGTGAGGCAAATGAATTGTGGAAGAGTGAAGGGAATAGATGACCTAAGTAATTGGAGAATTCATGGCGATTGGAACACCTGAGAACTTAATAAAATAAGAATATAAGAGAAAAGGAATGATGTGTGAAAGAAGCAGTAGAATATAATAGAAAAATATTAACAAAGGATAGAGGAACATCAGAATCTAACAATATTCATGAAGTACTGATTGCTGATATCAGTATCAGACTGGTGGATAAAACCTTGATCTGTGGTGTTTGGCTTTTGACCTGTTGCTATCGGTTTTCCATTTTCATATCGTTTGCTAACTTGTGAAAGTAAAAGCTTCATGGATTGCTGGAGCCAGAAATTTTTATTCAGTTACATGAAAAGCTTGGTTGAAATTGCACTTGATATTTGACTAGCTAAATTCACTTTGTTCGTAGTTTAACATTTGGTTTGTTGAAATTGATGTATTATGGTTTCTTGCCAATTTTTATTTGAGTGTCTAATTGTTTATGAATTTTGCAAAATTATAGATTGATCCTTTAATATAAGCTTTCTCCTATTATTTTGGTTGCAGATGTAGGACGCATTGGTATTGGTATTTGTTATGACATTCGCTTCCAGGAGCTAGCCATATTATATGCAGCAAGAGGTCCACTTCGTTATACTTTTGGAATATCTGCACATCTTTTTTAAACTGAAAGGCTTGTTTTAAATGAATTTCTGGTTTATTTTACCATGGCAAACTGGAAAGTCTCGACTATATCTGCATTCTTGGGGAATATTTGTCATTGCTATTTTATTTGTGAATCACTATCTTTTTACTATTCTCCTGCATTTTAGTTATGGTTCATTTAGTTTTTTTTTTTTTGGACATCATAATTATCTTTCGTTAATTGGCTAATGTCTTTTTTCATTTAGTAGTTTCATTGACAATTGATCTATTGTATCCATTCACTAATTGTATAGATATATATTCTTTTTGTTTCAGGTGCTCATTTGCTATGCTATCCTGGGGCATTTAACATGACTACTGGCCCCTTGCATTGGGAGTTGCTGCAAAGGGCAAGGTAATCATTGAGAAATGATGGTATTTTAGCTAAGTTCTTGGCCATGATATATTTGAAGAGTTACATGCCTCTGCTCTGATATTTCTTTGTTCATATGGATATGTCCAAGAAACGAAATCCTGGATCTATATGAACAATGGCGGTATACATAGGGTATATCACCAAAAAAAAATAACAAAAATAGTTAAAACGATGGTATACTTCAGTACAGTATAGTATATTGTATATTTGATACTTTAGTTCTCTATAGCAAGGTATGTAATTTCGAATAATACCGCTCAGTATATATATATATATATATATATATACCGAGCGGTATATCAAACGGTATACCGCTCGGTATACAGTTTCGTACCGTACCGAGCGAACGTCGAAACTCCGGTACGGTACGAAATTGCATACCTTGCTCTATAGTACATACTCATACACAGATGTTACCTTGACATCCTTGCTACTTTATGCTCAAGGATTTTGCATAGGAATGCACCAGACAAACCATAGTTTTGTTCATTGTACATAAAGGTTGTGTAGATAGCTTTGGTGTCTGGTCATATCTATCAAATATGCTAGGCTTTTGTTTTCTACTGTTCTTATTGCAGTGCAGCCAATGACCAACATGGAATTTTTTACTTTGGCATCTTTGGAATAGAATGTGCCTAGCCTCATGACGGAACTTACAACCTGTGTATCTATCTTTGCCTTCATGTTTGTGTTATGCTAGTTTGTTGCATGTCATGGCCTGAAAGAAAGCTTGATATTAAATGATGGTGCAACTGTAGTTTTTATTTTCATGGTTATGTAAGTTTTACTAATACCTTTTTTGTTTTTTTCACTCCAGGGCTGCTGATAATCAGGTACACAACTTTCCTTCTGATATGTATTCTGATTTGAATTGCTGGGCTGAAAATTTGAGCATTTTAGTAAATGAGAAAAAAGATCTAAGGCATGCAATTACAAGAGAGGAGATTATAAAGATAATATGTTATGTGCTTAGTCAAACTTCATAGTCATCAGGAGCTAATGCACACACTTGGTCAAAATTTGAGCCGCCCAATTGAACTCTGATCTCTTTATTAGGAGCGTTGCTGTTTTGTGACTTTTGAATGATACCCTAAGTATCGCCTTAGGGTATCATCACAATATCTTTATTTTCCATGTTAAGATACACAGGTTGATCACACAGAGAGGCTTTGCAGTTAGAACCGTTTTGCCCCTTGAAATGCTCTTGATTGCATAGTTGCACTCTTAAGCCGAACTGCCTGATTATATGTTATGTGTACATTATGCTGTGTTTGAATAAAAAGAACGATGGCAGAGGTTTCGACAAGACTGTGTGCACAGTTTATTTGTCATGAAATGATAAAATATGTATGAAAATACATAGGACACTCTCAGCATATTTTATCTGTATTAGTTAGGACTCTACTGGCTATATTGTTGTGTTTGTTTCCCTTTTCTCAGTTATTTGTGGCAACTTGTTCGCCCGCTAGAGACTCTGGTGCTGGTTACATTGCTTGGGGACATTCCACACTTGTTGGACCTGTAAGTATTATATGGACGGCAGTGTATTGTGTGTGTGTGCTAGATAGTTTGTGGGAGGATTGAAGGATATTGATGTCACTTTGGAGTCATGATGTCTGTATATACCAAATATTGCAGCTGTTACATATTTCTTTACTAAATAATACTGCATTGATTATCATCATTTTCAAACTGATAGCTGAGTTTTTTTTTATTTGACTATTCGACTTGATCAGTTTGGAGAAGTGATTGCGACCACAGAGCATGAGGAGGCAATCATTGTTGAAGAGATTGATTATTCATTGATTGAACTCAGAAGGTATTTTATTAACATACTGATAAGTTGCTGATTATTTGAGCAGTTATATTATTAATCATTCAAATCCTGCTCTTCAATAAGATCAAGAACAAAGCTGAGTTTCATTGGCATCATACGTTGCCAGAAATTATAAATTATGATTTATTTACCTTCTTGATCCCCGGTGTCTTGAAGTCACATACGCCCTCATCTAGAGTATGTGATACATACGGGGTTAAGTTGATCCCATAGCTCTATTAACATGAATCAAAATAAAAGGAAAAAGCAACTTCAATAAGAAAACTAAGTATATAAACCACACCTCGATTCTGGAATTAGAAAGCTTATGCATTTTATTTCATTTTCAAGGTAATAAAATGTTGTTGCGTTTTCAAGCTGTTTCTGCCTGATTGTTGCAGGTCAAACCTGCCTTTGGCAAACCAACGGCATGGCGATCTGTACCAGCTTGTCGATGTTCAGAGGCTGAACTCAAAGTAGATGATGCTAAGGGTTGCTGGTGCTTTCTGAAATAACGCAACAGATTCACATGCATGTTGAAAGACTTCTTTAGCAAATGACTTCTTTAGCAATCAGTCTCATTCAGAATTCTTCCCGTGTTGTGGTGTTTGCTTCTCTGGATGAGAAGTGAAACAAGGAACTGACTACTTATCCTTCCAAATAGTGTGATAGAAATTCTGACAAAAGCTCCGATGGATCTTTGATCATAGAATGAGTTATTGGATTGCTATCATGCTGGCTATAATGGTTCCGATAAGGATAAACGTTTTGCTTTGACCATAGGGGTTGTAACTGAGGGTTTGAACAGATAGCAACAAAGATGTGACTGTCCAATCCAAATTGACTTTGATGTGTGTTAGTGCACGCGGAGTGGCCCATTCAGATACATCAGTATCTATTAGATACATGTTGATTGGTTTCTTTGGATCCTTGGGTTCTAATCACTTGTCGGGAAGTGCTTTGTCATAGCCACTTAAGTCAGTGTTGTTGAAACAAGCATCTTAGTCCTAAAGCAGTTGGTGTCCCTAAATCTGTAGTCAACAAAGGCTGCATTGTGGTGTGCAATATTGTCCACACTCAGTTGGCTTCGGTTGTGTTTGAATCCTTTGTCTGCTTCGCAATATGGACGTGTGTGCGCGATGATGGCGATGATGGTGTCCATCTGCCTCCTGCACCGTACTGAACAGTGAGGCGAGCAATGAGTGACGGTGGGTGATGGGAGGATCTCCACTGGATGCGGGTCCCAAGTGGGAGACACTTTGATCGCGCCCCTTCTCACCGTCGCCGCTGCTTCTGCTTCTTCTCCTTCTTCTTCTTCCAACCACTACCAGTCCTCGCTGCTCTTTTCTTCTTTTGCTGCTTCGTGTTTCCACGCCTTGCAGCGTCGCCTGTCAGAACCCTGCGCGCATTAACGCGGCACGACAGCTCTCTTTCTCTCTCTCTCT